TAATAGGTGTAACGACATTGTGTAAGAGGGTTTTTCTTGTGCAAGAAGGGGCAGTGTAGATGCTGCTTCTTGCACAAGAGCCTCTTCTTAAAAAAATGGTATCTCATTAGGTAGGCAAATGAGGCTCGGCGATATTCCACGCTTATCCTCATTTGCATATTCATTGCGCAAGAAGCCGCAAGTGTAGACATAGCCTTAGAGTGTAATGTCATTATGGAAAGGACATGGTAATTAGATAAAAGAGTTTGGGAAAGGATTTAAAGGAAAGCATCCCTTAAGGGAGATGTGGAAAGGGTTTTCAGGAAGTCCTAAGTCCAATACAAGGCGGAGCCACCTTCCTTTTTTTCTGTATTTACACAATAGATATTTTAGATGAATAAAGTTGCCACCTAATTAAACCACATCCAGTGCCTTCTATCATTCTTTGGTGTAATGGGACAACAACAATGTGGGAATGAGATGAGTTTATCTCTGAGGCTACGGCTACACTGCCTTTTTTTGCGGCACAGGATATACAAATCGTGTTCTCATTTCCATATCTTCTGATTCTTTTTGCAGAAGAGGTTTTGCCAATAAAAAGCCCCATGTAGGTGGGGCCATCGGTAGGGAAAAAAACCTTTTTTCACAAGATCCCTTATTCCTCAAAAGTCAAGGTTTACAGGAACTTGCGAAAAAGGGGTTTTTTTCCGATTAATGGTCCCGTCTACACAGGGCTTTTTATCGACAAAACCTCGTCTGCAAAAAGAATCGGAATAAGATATGCAAATGAGAACAATTTGAATATGCTTCCTCTTCCACAAAAAAAGGCAGTGTAGCCGTAGCCTGAATGTGCCTGTGTTGTTTGTAGGTTTTTTTTCTTGATAGTGGGTTGGGTTGTCTCTAAGTGTGCTTAAGTCATGCAGCAATACAAAAACTGTAGATAACTAGCAGATAGACAGAAACAGTAAATTTAAAAAAATAAGCAGTGAACCAAAATCACTCCTTACACCTGCCTTCATGGACTGTCAATATAAAATTAATGTATCAAATTGACCATTCTATATGCAAATTAGGAATGTATTTATGTGTTCATAATGCACAAATCATATACTACACATCTACACTTTCATAATGGTCTCTCTGTCCTACATAATGAATAATGAGAAAATTCTCAAGTTAGAATGTTGTATTAATGTTTTGGCAGTATGTAGAAAAAAAGTTAAATAAACTATGACAACATTTTGAAAAGCTTTATTTTTTCCTGTTTATGAGTTAATTATCAAAAAGTAAGTTGTCTCAAAATATTAAGATGGGAAACCATTTATGAAGTATATGTTCCATGAAACTGTAAACAGTTTTAAAAAATCATGTTTTCCCTTCTGCTTGTCAATTTTTATGTGTGTATTCTCTGTAATATTTGAATGTAATATGTTTGTCTTTTGGGGGAGGGATATTTTAATGTCTGGTTTGGTGATTGTATGAAATTCACTAAGGGGAGCTACATTTTTGCCCTGGGGCAAAGTTGGTAAGGATGTCAGAGTATTTATTAGTTACATCGTGTCAGGATAATTGTTAATTATATCTGCAGTGATGCAGTTAAGTGAAATAATTGTCAGAAGAAATGCCAGTTGATGGTCATCTTCACCTCTCTCCTTAGTGTATCTGGGCTGATTAAAAAAGGAATTAAGACTATTTCCGATTTCTCTTATGCGTTTGTTTATTGCTGACTTCTGCCAAGACTGCTACTAGTTTTGCACATGGTGCAGTAAAGACTTTTTTGAGAGAGAGGTTGCTAATCACAGCTGCATATGTAATAGAGCGAATCATAAAGCAGTACTTCGTGTTTCCCAAAAATGTATTACAGCTGAGATGAAATAATTTTGATTTTTTTAAAGATAATTTAATATTAGTCACTAGAAATTGTGTTACTCACCGTTGGAGGAAGATATTTAGCATATTCATATTTGTAAGTGATGTCTTCTGCTAACTAGATTGAGCTTTCAGTTGAGAATTGAATAACTTTGAAATAAATCTATGTAATGCTGCTATGGTTATGCCTTTTCTTGACTGACTTTTGTCCTGTACATGTTAACATTAATTTGTATTACATTTGTAGGGATGCCTCATTTGGAAACTGCACATACAATCTCAAAATCCTGGATTGCTTACAGGGAATAAAAAAGGTAATAACATTTACTGTAAATTGCAATGATTCTTTTAAAAAATTAAACTGAAATCGGATGGATTTTTTTTTTTGTAAATTTGCCAAGAAAAAGTCATCTCTTGCCACAAAATTCGAAAGAGTGAGGACTTCTTTCAAATGCTGAGAGTAGGAGAAAGTGTTAAACTATTAATTTATTATTTAACCACCACTTGAGTTTTACATACTTCTGAAGGTCAGTAGATGTGTATAAACTTGTATATACTCCAAACCTCTTCTGTGTTGAAATGTTTCTGTAACAAGTTAGTGGCTCAAATTAAAAATTAGTACAAAGGAATAACTTAAACTAGTACTTATTGAGAAAACAAACTAAGATTTCATTAAAATTTCATCTAACTGGTATTTCACAAACAGTAGCTTTATCACAGCACTTATGAATAACAGTGAGAAAATTAACAATGCTTAATCAATTTTTATTACTAGTTTTATTCTCATTATAACCCGTACTAAATAAAATTCTTGGCCCACTGACTTTTATGATCTGAAATAGCTTTCCAGCCTTTCCAAAACTGTTGAAAAAGAAAAAGAGTAATGCAATTTCTATAACTTGCTTTGCTTGTATTGAACCATTCCCTTCATGCAGCAATTTGACTAGTCTTGAGTATTTCTTCATTTTCAATTTATGGTTTTCAAATTGGATTTTCACTTTATGATTTTTGTGTCAAACTTATCAAGAAAACTAGCTTAAAAAATTTATATGTATATTTGTTAGTCTCCTAAGTGGTGTTTCTGATGGCAGCAAAATAAATAGTTCTGATTTTGAAAGCAGTACTTCTTTGCTTCCTCCACCTTCACTTCAGTTTGGCCAAAAATTGCATTGCTGTTTGGGTCTTTCTTGTGATGTTCATGTAACATTGCCTGAAACTATACTGGGTATACTGAATCCACCTAATGTACCTTAGAGACAAAGCTAGGTACTTTGTAGTATTGTATTAGGCATTCATTATACAGTTTTCAATGGGACTGGTGCAGCTGACGAAATAAGTACTTTCTAGAAAACATATGACAAGATGCCAACATTAAAAATAAAAACAAAATTGTCAGGGTCCCTAAATTCAGGAAATTGTCTTAAAAATGGAAATTACAAATATATATTTATGGGGAGTTACCTTCTGGTTTTTGGACTGATAGGGTACACTAAGCTTTACTTTACAAGCCTGAGGGGAACGAGTTTTGTTATTAAATGCAACCTGAGATTCTTGTCTATTCACGTGACTCTGATAGGTGGGGTTTTAAGAAACACACCAGCTACGAGATTTTAATTAGTAACATTATACTACAAGATAGATGAACAGAATTTGGCCCTATCTCATCATTGACATCAGTAGAATCACTTGCTTCGGTGATGAGAGTAGGATTTGTCTTAACTTTTATATTAGTCACCAGTAGAAATATGCAATCTTAATTGTTCTGCAAGGGTATTGAAGCTAAATTGTTTCTTTAAAATAAACCAAAAGACAACAACTTCTTAGCTGAATATTTTTGAACTCCTTACATTGGTTTGAGAGGTCCTGCCAGTGAATAAGGCACAAGCACTAGGAAATCTCGCTGAGAGATCTGGGAGATGTCTAGAAAGAGCTGTTGTAGGAACGTACAATAGTGCACATGAAATGAATGTGTGTTCATCAGCAAGGATAGGGATCACAATTTTTGTTTGTTCCATGATAGTGGTCATTACTGAAGTTCTAACCCACTGACCTGCAAAGCCAAAAACATTTTAAATTGAAATCTCCTCTAAATCTAAAGCAAAATTCTTGGCCTGCTTTATTAATTTGGAAGAAACTATTTTTTTCTGCCTTTAAAAGTTTATGCTTGGCATTGTAGAATTACACAATGGATTTTTCACCTATTGCAGAAACTAGTTTAAATGTTCCTTAATCCCAAAGCACATTTTGTATAATGTACATTAATCAGAAGATGGATGTATCTAGTTCAATGGTATAAATACATATGCTAACATGCTGCAGAAGTCTACTTCATTTATTCCCCAAAGACAGTTAATGCCACGTCTTTCTTCATTCACAAGACGTTATAGACTTAATTATTATCAGCCAGGGTATGTCTACACTTGCACCCTAGTTCGAACAATGGATGCAAATGCAGGCTTTTGAAATAGTCAATGAAGTCGGGATTTAAATATCCCGCGCTTCATTACCATGATCTCGCCGGTGAGCTAGTTCGAATCACAGGTGATTAGAACCAGGAAGTGCGTGCTGGGACGTGTTAGTTCGAACCAAACCCCTTGGTTTGTACTAACGTTACTCTTCCCCAAAAAATGAGGACTAGGGTGCAAGTGTAGACATACCCCCAGAATAAAAAAAAAAGTTTATGCAAAATTGGAAGACTCCTACAGTGCTTCACAAAATATATATTCCACCAAAAAAAGTTGGAAAACATATAGATGCATAATTAACAATTAGAATTAGAGAATACCAAAATACAGGTTGCACACACAAACATAGCCCTTTTGCCCATTTGCATAAACAGTATGATCTTTAATTATGTACTCTCATATTATTTCTGAAGTATAATATATATGTATACATTTTTCACTTACCTTAGGGCACATCTTCACTCACTGAGCTGGAGATCAATATTCTGGCATTCAGTTTAGCAGGTGTAGTGTCAAGCCCATAAGCGGGGGGGGGGGCAAAGGTGCAAAAGCACCTCACTATGGTCCTCCAAGTAAGCATGCTCCAGCCAACCAGGAGAAGGCAGGAGCAGTGTGCTGCCCAACCCTCCCTTGTTCATGCTCTGACCAGCCAGGCGAAGGCTGAGGCTGATTTCCTTGCTTTGGGGCCCCTAGGGGGTGCATTCACACCCTTGCAGTCGACATTTCCAGAAAAAAGTACCCCACAATGAAATTCCTGCATATAGGCCTGAATATAGACCCATAAATTGAACACTAAGGGCAACTCTGGCCAGCATTTGTACTCTTTGCAGTTGTGAGGAGTAAGGGAGGCCAGGCCGACAGGAGCATTTGTTCCTGTCGGTCTCCTGCAGTGGAGATGGCGCCAAGCTTGTCTTAATGTAAGCCAGTTCCAACGAGGTATTCTATGTAGCTGGAGGAATATACCCTAAGCCAGGGGTGGGGAAAAGGGCCTTTGTGAGCTGGATCTGTCCCACTAAGTGGGTTGATCTGGCCCGCAGAGGTCATGCTGCTCTCTTGCCCTCAGGCCAGTTAGGGCCTAGGGACTGGGGAGCACATGGCACTTAGAGTCAAACCTGGCAGTTGACTGGCGGGGGAATCTGCTGCTCAGCTGGCGGGTGACTCTAGACACAGAGCTTCCTTGCAGGGTGGGAGCAGACTTTGCGAGCTTCCCCTGCCCCCAGGCCCTGATTCACCTGGGAGCAGGGAGGAACGCGCAAAGTCTTCTCCCAATACCAGGCAGTGGGTGCTTCGAGGGAAATTCCAGCTGTTCAGAACAGCTGGCAGTTCTCTGGAGGGGGATGGGGGCAAAGACTTCACGCACTCCCCAACCCGCAGACCAGTTGGGCTCTGTGAGTGTGGAAGCACAGAAACGTCCTGGCCCCACCCCTTCCATCCGAGGATCTGCCACTTCCACCTGAGGGGCCATTCCAAAAATTTCTGAAGTGGCCCCTAGTCAAAAAATTATTGCCTACTCTTACCTTAAGCCAACCTACAAGGTCTTGTATAGACCTGGCCTTATACTACATTTTCTACTCTGTATGTCAGACAGACTCCATAAGTCATTTATTCCAAAAAATGTTGAAGGAAGATATCTTGTTCTCATTCATTGTGCACCTTACACACACTATATAAAATACATAACACTATATAAAATAATAAGTAGTTAAAAATATTCAATTTTATTATTTGAGAAGAAGTAGAGTCTGCTAATGTAATCAAAGGCTCCCTTGAAGAAGGACTTCCCAGACAACAAACCAGAATAGATAGCCATGTTTGAATAGTCACCTGATTTTAAATAAGTAATGTATGATGTCTTAACATTTTATTGTAACTTTGCCTTAGAAAAAAGTGACTGTACAATAATTTATGTATAAGGGGATAAAATGAAGGTGGCAGTGGCATCTTTATGTTAACGTTCTGAGTTTTCTAATCTTCTCAAACACGTAAGCTTCAGGGTTCTCTTAGTATACACTTTTGGCTTTTCGACATTTTAAACATAGGCAGGTTTGCTTTTGTTGATTTTCAAATATGCTACAAAATACGAAGACCTGACAATGTGCTATTATGATCAGTCTCTTATGTAAGAAACTATTTTTGTTGTTGTTGTTGTTGTTTTTAGGCCTTTCAGCATGGATTTTTTGATTTTAAGACATTTGATGTGGATGAGTATGAACACTATGAGGTTTGTATACTTAATATTTCATTCTTAATTCTAGCTTTGCTCAAAGTATGTTAGATTTGCACGTACAGTGGCATATGCTTTGAATTAGAATGCAGGTCTAAATAGAAATCAGCTGTAGTATTAGACTTGGGATTTTATTTTTGCATTTCTCCCAAGATATGCCATAGCCTCATTTGTATATGTTTTGTGCAAAAAGGCTACAGTATAGACATAGTCTCTGTATTTTCAAAAATAATTCATGTAGCTATCAGAAAGGCATTGGTGTCCCTTTTTAAGTACAGGCAGTCCCCGGGTTACGTACCAGATAGGGACTGTAGGTTTGTTCTTAAGTTGAATTTGTATGCAAGTCAGAACTGGTACATATTGTCCTCATTTGTATATGTTTTGTGCAAAAAGGCTACAGTATAGACATAGTCTCTGTATTTTCAAAAATAATTCATGTAGCTATCAGAAAGGCATTGGTGTCCCTTTTTAAGTACAGGCAGTCCCCGGGTTACGTACCAGATAGGGACTGTAGGTTTGTTCTTAAGTTGAATTTGTATGCAAGTCAGAACTGGTACATATTGTACCCCAGGTATCCACGATTCAGCCGCTGCTGAAACTGACCAGCGGCTGACTACACGAAAGCCGCAGCAGAGCCGCTTTTGCC